CTGTCCTGGTCCCATGGCGACGACGAGATCTTCTCCACGGAGCAGGCCATCGAGTGGTTCAACTTGTCAGCCTGCTCTCGAGGACGGCCCCGTAAACCATTCTAAGCCCTGAGCCCTGAGCCCTAAGCCCTAAGCCCTAAGGTTTAAGGCCTAAACCCGAAACCCTACGTAACCCTAAAACCCAACCCCCAAGCATCTTCCCACACCCTGAGTTGCAACGGGGCGGGGGAAAGGGAGCACAAATAGTCTGAGGAGCACCATGCTTTGACTTCGACAAGCTGAACGGTTTGAATCAGCACTACATCAAGGAGGCCTTCTGCTTCCACGCGGGCCTTCCCATGATAGGGCTCCCTCTTCAGGTAGCCCAAAATCCTTATGACAGGAGCCTCTAAACAGGTACCCCCCCCCCCTCCCATTTTTTGGAACCCCTCCCCGTCTGTCTCTGGTTTTAAAAGAAAAGCGGCTCCTACACTCCTCAAGGCCGACCACCTGCGCCTGGCCGAGATCCTGCTGAAGCTCTTTCCCGAGGCTGTCGGGGAGCCCTACACCCTGAATCCCAGCATAGAGCCTGCACGGAGGTTTAGGTACTTCCTTATTATAGCTGCCCACGAAGCTCCAGATGAGCCCTAGAAGCCGCCTAAGTGATCCCAAGCCCCAAATTCCCTGAAGGTCCTAAACCTTGAGCCCGAAACCCGAAACCCGAAACCCGAAACCCGAAACCCGAAACCCGAAACCCTAAACCCTAAACCCTAAACCCTAAACCCTAAACCCTAAACCCTAAACCCTAAACCCTAAACCCTAAAGCCTGCACTCCGGGAGGTGGCCCCTCACATGGAGAAGCTTCGCGACCTTCGCGTGGCGAGCATGCTGAAGGTGCGCGCCAAGACGCTGCTGGAGTACAAGCAGGCCAGACCTTTCCGGGTGTTGCAACTGGCTACTAATGTTTCTTAGATATGTCCAAAAAATAGTATCCAGCTGACCTTTCTGGGAGTTTTCTTGGGGTCTGTCGTAAACTCATCCGCAGAGAAGTACCGTTTAGGGCTCTTGAGGTAGGGTTTAGGGGTTCTTAAGGTAGGGTTTAGTAGGGTTCTCAAGGCAGGGTTTAGGGTTTTCTAAGGTAGGATTTAGGTTTCTTAAGATAGGGTTCAGTAGGGTTCTTGGTGTAGGGAGCATCCCCCAGGCCGGATGGTTCTTCATGTCCCAGCGGCCCATCGAGGTGTCGCCGGCAGCGGCCGCTCGGCACCGAAAAAGCCGCGAAGACCCTCTGACGAGCTGCCTGGGTCCTAGGTCCTCATCCGCCCTACACGGTAGACCCTCAACCCTAAACCCTGAACCCTAAGCCTCCTAACCCCCTAAACCCCATATACCCCATGTACCCGATACGCCCCATATACCCTATAAACCCCATATACCCCAAACCCTAAACCCCCCGAAGAAGCCTTCCAAAACCCACGGCTCTCTCCCCCCGAGGCCGCAGATCTCAAGGGGCCTTCTGCGCAGGAGGCCCTCGAGGCCTTGGTGCAGCTGCTGGAGATACTTGGCGGTCGACAAAATCAGTAGGGTTTAGGGTTTTAGGGGTTTGGGGTTTTAGGTTTTTAGGGATTTTACATGGTGTTTAGAGTTTTGTAGTGTTTTAGGTTTTTGGATGTTTTGTGAGGCTTGGCGGTTTCTAAACCAGTAGGAGGGTAACTCTAGGGTTTTTGGTTTTAGGGAAGGGGCGTTAGGGTTTTTAAAGGGCTTTTAGGGTTGTTACGGGTTTTATGGTTTCAGGGTGTTTAGTTTTTTCTTTTAAGGGGTTTGAGGAGTTCTCGGGTTTTTAGGGAATTTTGGGGTAGGGGTTTTGTGTAGGGCTCTCTGGCTTTGGGGGATGTGTAGGGTTTTTTGGCGGGGGATCCCAGAAGATGTCGGAGTTCCTACAGAGGAGTAGTGGCAGACCGATGTTGGGGACAAGCCCGCTCTCTGCAGGGTGTTGGTTGGGGACTTACAGGCAAAAGCCTCTTACCTGAGCCCCTAGGTCCGAAACCCCATAAACCTTATAAACCCTAAACCCTAAACCCTTGACCTTGCACCCTAAACCCTAAACCCTAGCCCTACATCCTAAACCCTAAGCCCTGGCCCTAAACCCTAGCCCGAAACCCTAAACCCTAGATGCATCTATCGGCCTTAAACCATACACCCTAGGCACATCGCACCTCAGGAGCTATGCTGGCGACTGGAGCCCTGAGAGCCTGGAGACCTACATCAAGGACTGGGTGGCGACCAAGAAGGCTTGCTGCGAGTGTTGTTAGGGGTTTTAGGTTTAGGGGTTTAGGGGTTTAGGGTTTTGGGGGTTTTAGGGTTTGGGGGTTTAGGGTTTTAGGGTTATAGGGTTTTGGGGTTTAGGGTTAGAGGGTTTTAGGGTTTCGGGGCATAGGGTTGTAGGGTTTAGGGTTTGGGTTTTATAGGGCTTGGGGCTTAGGTTTTAGGGTTTGAGGGTCCTCAGCCTTCGAAACTCGGCAAGGTTTACTCTCGCGGGAGGTGAGCTGGTGTGCATGAGCCCATGCCTCTGGCCTCTGGCCCGCAAACTTCGTTCCCCCCCCCCAAACCCCTAAACCCCAAACGCCCGAAACCCTAAACCCCAAACGCCTTCAACAACCCACTACCCTAAACCCCTAACCCTAAAGGCCCTAAACCCTACACCCCATACCCTACAAGTTCTCCATGTCGGACTTCCAGCGCGCCGGGAGGTGAAGTTGGGGGTCCTGGCCAAACCGGCGCGGGCCGCGCCGGGCGCCGAAGTTTCGGGGTTCCGCCGAGGTCCTTGCTGTGTAGGGGTTTAGGGTTTAGGGTTTAGGGTTTAGGGTTTAGGGTGTTTTGGAATTTTGGGGTTTTGGAATTTTGGGGTTTTGGGGTTTTGGGGTTTTGGGGTTTAGGGGTTTTGGGGATTTGGGGTTTTGGGGTTTGGGGGTTTAGGGGTTTAGGGGTTTAGGGGTTTGTGGTCCAGGAGATCTTAGGGGTTGATGCTCGAAGTTTTGGATGTTGTTTTGGGGTTTTAGGACGTAGCACGGTTCAGAGGGCTGGGATGGCTCAGGGTTCAGGATTCAAGGGCTTCGGCCTGCTTCAAGACTTGTAGTGTAGGGTGTTTTGGGAACGCGGTTTTCAAGAGAATGCGTCTGGGGTTTGCGGTTTGTTAAACCTCTTTTTTTAGGGAAAGGCCATGGCTGGGATGACTTCAAGAGCAATCCCTGCACCGTAATCTCAAGAGGTTTTAGGGAGGTTGGCCGGCCATTCCGCCCGGGGTGGATCTACAATACGGACCCCTTGCAGTATGCTGAAATAGAACCCCAGAACCCCAAGAAACACAAAGGCCAAACTGCAACGAATGTACTGCAACAGAAACCTTAAGCCTCACAAACCTCAAGCCCTGAAACCCTATACCCCCAAACCCCGAAAACCCGCAAGCAGCCCAGCAAAAGCCAACAACAACCTAGAGTAAAAGCCCCGAGAGAAACAAAAACAAAGCACCTAACCCCCGAGGCTGACCGGCGCCACTGCATCGCCCGGTCTCTTCGAGGTGCAGGGTTTTGAGGGCTTCCAAAGTTTGGTGGGGTTTGGAGGGTTTAAGAGGGTTTAGAGGGTTCAAAAGGGTCCAAGACTTCAAGAGAGTTTAAGAGCTAAGAGGGTTTTAGAGGGTTTCAGAGGGTTTAAGAGGGTTTTGACGGGTTTAAGCGGGTTCAAGAGGGTTTGAGAGGGTTTAGAATTTCGTGATGGTTTTGAGGGTTCGTAGGGTTTGTTGGGTTTACAGGGTTTAGAGGGTTTTAGGGCTATTAGGGTCCATTATTTGGCTTCCAACCAGGGGGGGTATTCAAAGGCTCGAGGCATCATGGACCTTGTGGACCTAGAATTTAGGGTTCCAAGTATGCTCCCTTAATTTGGGTCCCGTGTTATACAACCCTTGCATACAGAATACAATAAGGGCCCATACTTCGTTCCCTAAACGCAAGGGCAAGGGACCGTACCAAGGGCCCATGGTTGCAACCTCACGCAGAACCCTAACCCCCCCCCCCCTAAACAACCCAGAAACCCCCAAAAGCCCAGGGGCCCCGAACCTTCAGGGTTTAGAGTTTAGGGTTTAGGGTGTAGGGTGCTCCCGACCATCTGGTCGAGAACGTGGCTATCAGCCCTGAACCCCAAATCGGTTTCGGGCTTAGGGTTTAGGGTTTTAGGGGTTTAGGGGTTTGGGGGCTTCGGGGTTTCGGGGTTTAGGGGCTTAAGGGTTTAGGGTTTCGGTTTAGGGTTTAGGGTTTAGAGTTTAGAGTCTGGGGTTCTGGTCAACCCTCAACCCTACTCGAGGTCATCTGGGCCATTGGGCGTGAAGAGTCCATCGCGCGCCTCAGGCGCGGCTCGAATACTTCGTGGGTCTTTTGTAGTGATTTGGGGGAGGGTTTAGGGTTTAGGGTTTAGGGTTTCGGGTGTAGGGCTTGTAAGTACCCTCTCAAAAGGGGTAGATTTCGTGCCTCGAGTTGCTACAGGTTTTAGGTTCAGGGTTTAGGGTGCAGGGTTTCGGGTTTAGGGTTTCGGGCCGGGTTGAGGGTTTAGGAGGTTTTAGGGACCCTGATCTGATGTAGAGCTTGGCTCATGACCGTAAAAAAACTTAGGTGCTTATTTGCCGGAACCCCAACGCACCAAAACCCCGTAAAACCCCCGAAGCCAGAAAGCCCAACCGACCTGGAACTTTCTCCTAAGCACGCAGCCTTCCAGACCCTAAACCCTAGGACCCTATCAGCCGAAAAATCCCTTGGGAGACTCCTAAACACCCTAAATCCTGCACCCAAAACATCCCTAAGCATCCCGCAACCCTAAACCCTAAACCCTAAACCCCAAACCCCAAACCCCAAACCCCAAACCCCAAACCCCAAACCCCAAACCCCAAACCCCAAACCCTAAACCCTAAACCCTAAACCCTAAACATCATCTCCAGGGATGGCGTGGAAGGCGCCTTCAAGGTGTCGGAGGGCTGACAGGCACCGTGAGCCCCAAGAACCCGAAGCCTGAAATCGATTCGGGTTTAGGGTTTAGGGTTTAGGGTTTAGGGTTTAGGGCTTAGGGCTCAGGGCTTAGGGCTTAGGGTTGAAGGTTGAAGGTGTAGGGTTTAGGGTTTAGGGCCCTACAACTTCAAGCCCGGGCGGAGCCCCGCAGCCTAAACTGCCCTGATATGCCTGAAGGCCGTACAATCCCCCCCCCCCCCCCCCCCCCCCCCGAAAAAAAAAAAAAAACAACAACAACATAAGCCATACGCATTTTCAACAAGGCCAACAGGCCACCCGAGAGCCCCAAGCTCTGCAGTCCTTTGGACCCCTGAAGGGACACCGACAGAAGCATCTTTTGTGGCCCTGCTCGTGTCATTGGGGCCAATCGCGACCCTCCTGGTAGCTCCTTGGCTTGGTAGTGGCTCTTCTTCGGGAATTAGGCCTTAGGGTTTTGGGGTTTAGGGTTCAGGGTTTGGGGTTTAGGGTGTAGGGATACTATTTCCGTAGTTGGGAATTCGGGAAGTAGGGACAGTCCGTCGCCCCATATCCTGCCGCTGTGCTCCGCCCAGGCCGTGAGACACAGCCTGCAAGCAGGACGCGGAAGGAGCTGCGCGTGGCAAGCGCCATGCTCTGGGAGCAAGACAGCTGCTGCCCGTGAACTCTCCAGCGAAATGTCGAGGCTCATCTGAGGGATGCGAGTCGCAAGGCTGAGGACGGCACCGTTTGGGGCTTCGGCACGATTTGCACCGCGCACAAAAAGTGTGTTTGCCACTGCCTCTTGTTTGCGCAAGTGCACGGTTGAGCCAGCCTTCAGATATTGTGTCATACCTTGCTTTGATTTGGAGCATTTTGCGCCTTGGGTTTAGGGTGGACATTGCGGGATGCTATTTGCGTGCATGCGGGGGTGGGCGGCTTTGCTAAGCTAAGGCTGGCATCTCGTCCGACATCTCGTGCGCTCCCCTGGTTGCGAGCGCACGGGCGACGTTTGAAATTTTCTCCGCTTTCCAGTGCGCGTCAGCAACGAGGTATTACCTCAACTCCCACCATGTGGATTTCCATGCGGGCGTCCCAGCGTGACTCCGATCCCAACCCGAGCCTTCATTCGTTTAGGGTTTAGGGTTTAGGGTTTAGGGTTCAGGGTTCAGGGTCTAGGGTTTAGGGTTTAGGGTTTAGGGTTTAGAATTTTGCGACCATGAAACCCCACAGGTGTGGGCCATGCAGGGCATCGCCAAGCCAGTTTCCGTCTACGCGCTTGCGCTCGGGGCTCAGATCTGCACGCGCGATTGAGAACTCGGACCGCTGTGTTCAGGCTTTCCATGGGTTCAGGATTCAGGATGTATAGGGTTGAGGGTTTTGTGAATTCGGGGTGCCGCAGATGAGATAAGCAAAACTTCGTCTTGGTTGAACGAGAAATCTCGGGTTGTAGCACTATAAAAGCAACAACATTCTCCAAAACCACACTAGTTTGCATTGTCGATTCAACTTGCATCTTCCAGAAAGACTATTGATGGCAGTATCTGCGTATCACCAAGTATGAGGGAGAACTGCCAATGTGGGAGTGGTCCGTGCATGTCCGTGCTGTACCCGCAAAACCCCAAATGCCCCAAAGTCCAACCCTATTTCCTGAGCCTCCCCTAAACCCCAAACCCTAAACCCTAAACCCTAAACCCTAAACCCTAAACCCTACACCCTAAACCCTAAACCCTAAACCCTAAACCCTAAACCCTCAACCCTCAACCCTCAACCCTCAACCCTAAACCCTCAACCCTCAACCCTAAACCCTAAACCCTAGACTCTAGACCCTAGACCCTAGACCCTATATACACCCTAAACCCTAAACCCTAAACCCTAAACCCTAAACCCTAAACCCTAAACCCTAAACCCTAAACCCTAAACCCTAAACCCTAAACTCTACACCTCAAACCTCAAACCCTAAACCCTCGAGGCCCTCTGAGGCCCTCAGCCTCCGTCTTATAAAGCGCCAATCACGTGCCTTAAACCCAAAACCAGGGTTTAGGGTTTAGGGTTTAGGGTTCAGGGTTCAGGGTTCAGGGTTTAGGGTTTAGGGTTTAGGGTTTAGGGTTTAGGGTTTAGGGTTTAGGGTAACTTGCCCGCTCCCTTTTAGAAACCCTCAGCTCGGCACCCTAGGTCCACTGGGGTCGCGGAAAAGATCCTCTCCCGGCCGTGCGAGGTGCTGGCGCGGGGAGTAGCTTAGCATTTCAGGGCTTTTGGGGTTGAGGGTTTTGGGGGGTTTCAGGGTTGTGGGATTTAGGACTTTTTGTACTAATCAGGGTTCAGCCCCCCGAACGCCCCCCCCCCCCCCAGTCCACAGGGGTCAAGGGTTTCGAAGTCCATATGGACAAGTTTGTCGAGTTCATGGCCTCGCGTGCCACATCCCACACCCCGCCCGTTCCCGCAGGATACCATCAGTGTCACACCCTAAACCCTCGACCCGAGACCCTAGACCCTACTCCCTAAACCCTAAACCCTAACCCCAAAACCCAAGACCCTAAACCCTAAACCCCAAACCCTTAAGCCTAAAGCAGGATACCATCACCGTCACAGTGACCTGGAAAAACAACAGCGGGCATTGGCCTCGGCAACCGTACTTGGAGGTTCATGGGTAGACTTATGACCCCACTGGGGTTATAAGTACCCATGAACCATGAGCCTCCTTGGTAAGGGGCGTTTGGGGGCTCAGGAGGTTTTGGGGGTTGCAGGGGCTTGGGTTTCGCTTATGTTCCGGCGGTTGTAGTGGGCGGCCGAAACCCTACTGCAAGCCCTAATCTGCAAGTGGGAGGGGCCTCCTAAACCCTAAGCCCGAAAACCCAAACCCTAAACCCTAAACCCCAAACCCTAAACCAGGGTTGGAGGCCGAGATTTCAGCCTTCAAAGGCCCCGCACGTGTCGGATCCCAGATGTTCGCGTTTGCCCTCACCTGTATCGGTCTAGGAGGTGCCCTAAACCCTAAGCCCTAAGCCCTAAACGCTAAACAGACCCTTTGAGGTCGACAGGCCACGCCCTGTACACATCGTCCTGGACTGCTAGCAAGGCCCGCTTCGGCAAGGGCCGGGGTCGCTGCAGGGTGTTTAGGGTTTCGGGTTTGGGGTTTCGGGTTTAGTTTAGGGTGCAGGGTTCACCATGGAAGGAACCCCAGGACCGCTTGAACTTGGCGAGTGGGGGGCCTTCGGGATGAGTGGATGTGCGAGGTTCGAGGCCTTCGGCTTGGGGGCTGAAAAGGCTTCCGGGTTTAGCCCAAGTAAGTAGGACCTCGGATCCCTTACTAGAGGATCCCTTACCATGGCTTACTAGGCCCTTGCTAGGACCTAGGATCCCTTACTAGGACCTAGGATCCCTTTGTGGAGTTCTTCTTGTTTTGCAAGGAGGGTTTATGGTTTTAGGGTACAGCTGGCCTATGAAGGCCCTCCAGCTTCGCAACACCCCCCCCCCCGCCGACTTGTAGGATTGCGTGTGCAAGCATAACCCTAAACCCCAAAGCCCTAAACCCTGAGCCCAAAACCTTTCGCCCTGCTCAGTCGGACGTCCACTCCCAGCAGCGCTTCTTCTGCCAGATGCAAACTGCAGAAGTCACAGTCGACCAGGCGGATCGGGAGAAGCTGTTGAAAAAGATCATAGTAATCAGACGATTAATCATAGTAGTAATAGTCGCAGTCGTAATTTTTGTGGTCCTAGCCATGGTCATGGTCAGAACAAACAGAACATGAGCACCACAGACAATACTATTAGCCATCCCTAAACCCTAAACCCTAACCCCGAAACCCTAAACCCTAAACCCTAAACCCTAAACCCTAAACCCTAAACCCTAAACCCCAGCACTCTTTTGGGTCGTGCTCTGCTCTCGAGCCCTGAAGGCCCATCGTGGCTACTATGTGGCCGAGGATGACGTTGGGCCGGGGACTCTTCTGTTGACTCCCCGAAGTACCAGCAGCGTGTTGTGGTTCTTCTGACTGCTATCGCCTGTTCCCATGAGGGTTTAGGGTTTAGGGTTTAGGGTTTAGAGTTGTGATTTTTGATATCCTGACATCATTGCCTCGCCGTGGCCCGCTCAGGTTCAACTCCTGCAACCCACTCTTCATCCGCAACAAGCCGGACTGCCTCGCCAATCATCATCAAAACTCATCCTATTCATTAAGAAGAATCAAAGTAGTCAATCACCAAGTAGGCATACTCGCCATGGTAGTCATCAAAACGGCCCCAAACCCTAAACCCTAAACCCTAAACCCTAAACCCTGAACCCTGAACCCTAAGCCCTAAACCCTTGGATCACGCGAAACCGGTGCCTTTCAGGACTCGAAGGGGCGCTACGTCGGGCAGAGCTGCTACGGGCCCTGACCTCGGCCTTTGGGGTCCTTTTTTGGGTTTGGGGGTTTGGGGGTTAGGGTTTGGGGTTTAGGGTCTAGGGTTTAGGGTTGAGGGTTTAGGGTCCTTTTTTTTGGGGTTTGGGGGTTTAGGGCCTTCATGTCGAAACCCTACACCCACCCTAAAGCTGCTAGGGTTTGGGGTTTGGGGTTTAGGGTTTAGGGTTTAGGGTTTAGGGTTTGTAGGAGCTTTTCGAAGCCCCAAGCTGCTCGCCTCGCGTCAGGTACGTCTCCTTCGAGCGATTCGTGGATGCGGCCAGCGAGATCAATCAGGCTCGGGCCCCTAAACCCCTAAACCCTGAACCCTGAACCTAAACCCTAAACCCTAAACCCTAAACCCTAAACCCTAAACCCTAAACCCTAAACCCTAAACTCTAAACCCTACACCTGAACCTTGAACTCCTAACCTGTCAATCCCGAAAATCCCATGAAGGACGGGGCGGGTGGGCCTGTGCATCGACGGATCTGTTCATGCATGTTACCTCAATGGCTAGCTCCACGACTTCGAAATCGCATCCCCGAACCCTCCAGGGTTTAGGGTTTAGAAGATTGAGGAAGGTTTAGAAGGTTTGGAAGGTTTAGAAGGTTTAGAGAGTTCAGAAGGTACAGAGG